GCCCTTGCCATACCTGCTTTACGTTCTAGACAGTCAGTAAGTGTGTTTATTAATTGATCCAGGCAGATAGATCCGTGACGATATTTCTCTGGCTTTTCTTAATACCATGCATAGTGTGCAGAATGGATCAGATCTGTAGCTTCTGACTTAAGAATGACATCCTGAGGTACGCAGGCGATTAATATACTCTTCTGAGTGAGGAGTTGGTAGTTCTGTAACCTTGGAAGACTGGGAATATAGATGCTTATCTGCATTCAGGACTCCCTGTTCTTTGCACTTGAATAATAATGAACCTTCATACAGCTCTGTGGCATTTTTTTTAAAGGGTTGGGTTGCACATAATCAGCTTACGTTTAACTGGCCATATCCTCTGGGCATAGGTTATAACCTAAATTCATTTGGATGAATAACCAGTTCACTTGAAAGTTTGCTAAAACTCAAGACTGTTTTTTCTTTTGCCTACTCTGTCATACAGCTGTTAGGTGGCAGAAATGGAATCGGAATCCAAGCAGTCTTGACAGCAGAGCTGGCTCTTGAAAGCCTCGTCTCCCACAGTTCCTCCTTCTGTTCCCTGTCCCGGTTGCGGTGCCAGCATCCACCCAGACAGTGAAGTGGGGGATTCGGGTTGTTCAGAATACTTCTTTCTGACCCTCCACTATCCAGTAATCGTTGGGTCAGAGATCTTACACACACGCTGAGCTTTTTCCTTCACACCAGCAGGGCTCTGGTTCAGATAAATGCACTATTTGAAATCTAGCCCCACTGCTGCCAAAGTTACTGTTCTAAAATGCAGTTCTCATTGTTGAAACCTGCCGGCATCTGTCAGTTACCTTCAGGATAAACTTTGAACCACTGCGCGTGGTGTATCCTGAGTACATACGAGCTACCCCGGGGGACCCTGCACAGTGCAGATTACCCGTCTGCCTGTCGGCCTCATCCCTTTCACCAGGTTACAGCCTGTTTCCAGCCATACCAGCAGTCCTGTGAACCCTCCAGACATCCCATAATTCTCTCTTGAAGAGTTGCACTTCAAGACGGTCCATTCAGAAGTTCACCTTCTCTGTGAACCTTTTCCAAGTTCCTGTAGGGTAGATTATCCATTTTCTCTTGTGTGCCCCAGATGTGCCACTTGACATTTTGATTCTATTTTAGTCTTGCTGAAAGCTGTTTATTTGCTTACAGGTTTGTCTCCTCACTAGACTATGAGCTCCTTGAAAGAAGGAATCGTGTCTTACTCAGCTTTATATCCACAGTGTCTAGAACAGTTCCTGGTGCAAAGTAAGTGATTAACAATTTTTTTTAAACCAAGACTATATATATTTAATAGTTAAACTGTACAATATCTTCATCTATAAGCTGGATCTCCACTCACACAGTGTTTATTGTGACGCTTACATTGAAGAATGTATGTAATAGTACATTACGTGTGTTTTTAAGTGCCACGCAACTTTATGTTATTAAATGAAGTGTGAGAACTGATTATGTGTTGAAATAGATAATTTTATTTGCTGTGTATGTTCCATCTTCAGGCAAAATAGAACCATTTGGAACCATCTCTGTCATTTGCAGTTTAAGTTTGCGTTTCCTGGCTGCTGTAGGCACGCGCTCTTGAGTCTGAGGATTGATTTATACAGAACAAAGGGAGAACGTAGCGTGGAGGTGGGAATCTGGATTCAGAAAGAGTTTTAAGCAGTTGGAACAGACAGTCTCTTGCCTGGTTGGCAGTTTCCCAGTCTGCACAGTGTTTGAAATGTAAAGTTTAACTTTAAAGTTTTTGTTTAAACTTTACAATTCCTTTCAAGTAACTTACCCTATGCCTTTATCCTCAGCAATTACCTTTCTGTCTAATTCACCACTGAAGTCCCTCAATTTTCTTTTAATCTCCCTCCAGATGAATCAGCACCTTCCCTTATCCTTAGGTTCCTTACTTACTGTACAGAGAAGAAACATCTTTTTCTTGGAAGGCTGACTACGCAGCATCTGTACGAAAGCTGTGTCTTTACCTCTTCTTCTCAGGCTCCAGACGCACCCCCAGCCAGCAGCGTGTTTGGTGAATCAGTGATCTGCCCTGTCCTATGTCTATCTCCTTGCCTTCCATTTCTTTCTTTACATTTTTAAAACTTCTGTAATTTGAACATGCCAGGTTACATATAACATATGGAAGTTCATAATAAAAACAAACATTTGGGGACCAACCACTAAACCAGTTCCAACACAGTTAAGGAGCGGTCTGTGAGCCCCTCCGTAATCCCACATTCCTGTCTTTCCCCAGCCCTCTGAAGTCACTGCTGATCTGAATTTGGTTTTTTATCTCCTCCTTTTAAAAGCAGTATTACCACAAATGTATTTCTTTGTTTGAGTTTAATAGTTATATTTTAGAGTCTTTTTCTTTATTTAAAAAAAAAATTTAATGGAGGTACTGGGGATTGAACCCAGGACCTCATGCATGCTTAACATGCACTTTACCACTTGAGCTATTCTCCCCAGAGTCTTTTTAAAGCTTGCACAAGTGGTATTTTATTATAGAGAAAAGTCTTAATTTATAAATCTATGCATTTCAAAGAAAACATTCAAGCATCATAAAACATAATATACATCTAAAATTCTCAGAATGCACATTCAAATTTGTAACAAGAAAATAATCCTGGAGACTTATTTTTGGACTGTGGATATTACGGTACCACATATAAAATAAAGCTTATCTAGAGTGCAGAAATGTGGAAGATGTATTTCCACACACTCCTTTTTCCGTTTTGGCAGAAGAGTTCTCTTAGATTTATAGCGCACTCCTTGGAAGACTGTTGTGGGTTATACACGCACGGTGGGCCGGTAACGCGGGTTGGTGAAGAATTACCAGAGGCCGAGAAGAGTTCAGGAAAGTTTGCTGGTTACACTGCTGCAGGCAAGTGAGCCGCACAGATGCCTGCATGAGCGCTGGAAGGGTGGGGTGGGGTGGGGGGACATGCAGGGTCTTTTATTGGAGGGAGGGGGCTGCATGATCAGTTTGTGCACAGGGACCTGACTAGTTGTCAGATCTGTCAGGGACTTCTCTGAACAGTAGGTTTTATGACCTTGGCAAGGGCAGGATGTGAGGCCTGCCTGCCTAGAGTGTTAGGATATAGTGAGCTGGGCCATCCCCTGGGGCAGTGAGTTGTGTTAGGATAAACACACATCAGGAGAAGGTGTTTTATATCTTGCAGAAATGCAGGTGCAAAGGGTCCTGTAGTGGGCAGTGGGGGTTACGGTGTCAGTAGGCTCCAGGCACACAGAAGGCCCAGGGGTCGGGGTTTTATGACTCCAGAGAGTGCCAGCCGGCTCCGCAGGCCTGTCATTGGATTGTCCTTGGACCCCAGCGGTTCTTCTGTGGGCTTCGTTCAGTTGGTGTTCATAAGAGCTTTTGAGACTCAGGATCCACAGTGCCCCGAGGTTTCCAGGTGTCTTTTTCGATCATAGAATCATGGCATTTTCAAAAGAAATGCATAGCCAAAGATGAGGTCAAGTTAACTGCTGAAGTAATTCATTTCTTTCTTCTTTGTCGTGAGGGGTTGGAAGCACTTCTTGATGACCTCAGTGTAGAATGTTAAATCTT